CATGGACACAATTCTAACATTTTTGGCTCTATACATCACCACAATGGATTTGAAATGAAATGAACAAGATGTGCTTTAACTGCAGACTGTCAGCTTTAATTTGAGGGTATTTACATCCAAATCAGGTGAACGGTGTAGGAATTACAACAGTTTGCATATGTGCCTCCCACTTGTTAAGGGAACAAAAGTAATGGGACAATTGGCTTCTCAGCTGTTCCATGGCCAGGTGTGTGTTATTCCCTCATTATCCCAATTACAATGAGCAGATAAAAGGTTCAGAGTTCATTTCAAGTGTGCTATTTGCATTTGGAATCTGTTGCTGTCAACTCCCAAGATGAGATCCAAAGAGCTGTCACTATCAGTGAAGCCATCATTAGGCTGAAAAAACAAAAACAAACCCATCAGAGAGATAGCAAAAACATTAGGCGTGGCCAAAACAACTGTTTGGAACATTCTTAAAAAGAAGGAACGCACCGGTGAGCTCAGCAACACCAAAAGACCCGGAAGACCACGGAAAACAACTGTGGTGGATGAGCGAAGAATTCTTTCCCTGGTGAAGAAAACACCCTTCACAACAGTTGGCGGACCAAGAACACTCTCCAGGAGGTAGGTGTATGTGTGTCAAAGTCACCAATCAAGAGAAGACTTCACCAGAGTGAATACAGAGGGTTCACCACAAGATGGAAACCATTGGTGAGCCTCAAACACAGGAAGGCCAGATTAGAGTTTGCCAAACGACATGTAAAAAATCCTTCACAGTTCTGGAACAACATCCTATGGACAGATGAGACCGACATCAACTTGTACCAGAGTGATGGGAAGAGAAGAGTATGGAGAAGGAACTGCTCATGGTCCTCAGCATACCACCTCATCAGTGATCATGGTGGTGGTAGTGTCATGGCGTGGGCATGTATGGCTGCCAATGGAACTGCTTCTCTTGTATTTATTGATGATGTGACGGCTGACAGAATCAGCCGGATGAATTGTGAAGTGTTTCGGGAATATTATCGGCTCATATTCAGCCAAATGCTTCACAACTCATTGGACGCTTCACAGTGCAGATGGACAATGACCCAAAGCAGACTGCAAAAGCAACCAAAGAAGTGGAATGTTCTGCAATGGCCAAGTCCATCACCTGACCTGAATCCGATTGAGCATTTCACTTGCTGAAGACAAAACTGAAGGGAAAATGCCCCAAGAACAAGCAGGAACTGAAGACAGTTGCAGTAAAGGCCTGGCAGAGCATCACCAGGGATGAAACCCAGCGTCTGCTGATGTCTATGCGTTCCACACTTCAGGCTGTAATTGACTGCAAAGGATTTGCAACAAGTATTAAAAAGTGAAAGTTTGATTTATGATGATTATTCTGTCCCATTACTTTTGGTCCCTTAACAAGTGGGAGACACATATGCAAACTGTTGTAATTCCTACACCGTTCACCTGATTTGGATGTAAATACCCTCAAATTAAATCTGAAAGTCTGCAGTTAAAGCACATCTTGTTCGTTTCATTTCAAATCCATGTGGTGGTGTATAGAGCCAAAAATGTTAGAATTGTGTCCATGTCCCAATATTTATGGACCTGACTGTATTTTAACCACTTGCCCTCCAGAGTATTTACCCCCCTTAATGACCACGCCTCTTTTTGCTACTTGGCGCTGCACTAATTCAACTGATAATTGCGCGATCATGCAATGCTGCACCCAAACGAAATTTACGTCCTTTTTTTCACACAAATAGAGCTTTCTTCGGTGCTATTTGATCACCTGTGCGCTTTTTATTTTTCACGCTATAAACAGAAAAAGGCCAAAAATTTTGAAGAAAAACAATATATTTTTTACTTTCAGCTATAAAAAATATATAGTAAACTCAAAGTTGGTTATAAATTTAGGCCAAAATGTATTCTGCTCCATGTTTTTGGTAAAAAAAATCCCAATAAGTGTATATTGATTGCTTTGTGTGGAGTTATAGCGTCTACAAACTATGGTATAGATCAGTGGTCGGCAAGCCGCGGCTCGCGAGCCACATGCGGCTCTTTACAAGCTTAAATGCGGCTCTTCCGTGTGCCGGGCGCCCGCTCCCCTCGCTCCCCTCCCTCCTCTCCCTCCTCTCGGACGGGCGTGTGCCGGGCGGGCTCCCTCCCCTCCCTCCTCCTCGACGGCCGCCCACCTCCCCTCCCTCCTCTCGGACGGCCGCCCGCTCCCCTCCCTCCTCTCGGGCGGCCCCCCAAAAGTCAGGACTCTGCAGCTGTCAGGATGTAGGCGGGGCAGCCAGGATGTAGGCGGGGGCAGCGTGACGAACTCCTCTCCTCTCACAGTCCGCCCTGAAGACCAGAACGGCGCGGGAAGCACGACGAGAGGAACGCGCGGAGCAAAGGTAAGTGAATTGACACAGGGGGGACTTACTATATGGGGGATGAATTACTATATGGGGGACTTACTATATGGGGGGGGGACTTACTATATGGGGGGGGACTTACTATATGGGGGGGAATTACTATATGGGGGGGGGGACTTACTATATGGGGGATGACTATTGGGGGACTTACTATATGGGGGGGACTTACTATATGGGGGGGGACTTACTATATGGGGATGAATTACTATATGGGGGGGGACTTACTATATGGGGGGGACTTACTATATGGGGGGGGACTTACTATATGGGGGACTTACTATATGGGGGATGAATTACTATATGGGGGATGAATTACTATGGGGGATGAATTACTATATGGGGGATGAATTACTATATGGGGGATGAATTACTATGGGGGATGAATTACTATAGGGGGGATGAATTACTATATGGGGGATGAATTACTATATGGGGGATGAATTACTATGGGGGATGAATTACTATATGGGGGATGAATTACTATATGGGGGGGATGAATTACTATATGGGGGGATGAATTACTATGGGGGATGAATTACTATGGGGGATGAATTACTATGGGGGGATGAATTACTATATGGGGGATGAATTACTATATGGGGGATGAATTACTATTACTATATGGGGGATGAATTACTATATGGGGGATGAATTACTATATGGGAGATGTATTTTCAGTTTTAAAAATGTGGCTCTCAAAATAAATTTCAATCGTGGTTTTGGCGAGATTTGGCTCAGTTGAAAAAAAAAGGTTGCCCACCACTGGTATAGATAATGGAATTTACGCCATTTTTTGCTATACAGCGCTGCACTAGTTTAACGGACAATTGCGCGGTCATGCAATACGGTACATAAATGAAATTTACATCCTTTTTTTTAATCACAAATTGAGCTTTCTTTCGGTGGTATTTGATCGCCTGTGCGGTTTTTTTTTTTTTGCGCTATAAAAAAAAAAGGCTGACAATTTTGAGGAATAAAAACAATATTTTGGACTTTTTGCTATAAAACATGTCCAGTAAAAAAAAAATGTAAAAATCTAATTTAGTCATAAATTTCTGCCAAAATGCATTCTGCGACATGTCTTTGCTAAAAAAAAAAACCCAATACGTGTAAATTAATTGGTTTACGTGAAAGTTATAGCGTTTACAAATGGCGGGAAAGATACTGGGATTTTTAGGGTTTTTTATACTAATAATGGCGGCGATCAGCGACTTATGGTGGGACTGCGGCGGACATTCTGACATTGGGGGGTACTGACTTGGGGTCACTGACATCCCAGTGACACCAATACAGTGATCAGTGCAAAAAAAAAAAACACTGACACTGTACTAATGGCACTGGGGAGGAAGGGGTAACTTTATTTTGCAGGGAAAGGGTTAACTGTGTGAGGGGGAGTGTTTTACTTGGGGGCGGGGCGGTGTACTGCAGGGGAGTGAAACTCTTTTGTCCCGATCAGCCTGTCCTGGAGCTGTCAGGGAAGTGACAGAAAGCACAGCTCCTGCAGCTGTGCTCTCTGTCAGCGATTGCCGCCGATCGCCGGGACATAGCCGGTAAGGACCGGCTGTGACCTGGCGACTGACATCCGCGGCTGTGATCGGCGGGACAGGTAGGGCGGCGGCGCGCCCCCTACCTGTTTACAAAAACACATGTTTTAAAATGTGGTTTTGCCTGCCCGTGCCGCCCTGCCGCCGTATTTCTACAGTGGCTGGGCGGCAAGTGGCTAATTTAATAAATATTCAAAAATAAATATATTAAATAATTTAAAAAAAATAAAATATTCTCTCTCTCTGAATAGTCACACCACATGAGGTGGGACTGTGTTGGGCAGTTCTTTCAGCGCAGTCCCATCGCATGGACAAGGCAAAAAGCCTCATCTCCTATGTGCCTGCTACATTTGTCTTTGTGACATCTTAATAAAGTTTGTGGGAAAAAAAAAAAAAAAAAAAGGATGGTACACTCCGCCCAGCTCAGCACACTCAGCTGGATTGCGCTGCACACCCCGTACACCCGATGAAAATATCGCAGGAACGATCGTCCATTTTTTGTTCTTTGCATGTCAGTCTCCTATTGATAATGTAAGTTACGAAAATTCTCGTAGGACAGAATACAAATTCGGAAGGGATGTCAGGCGGCGTTGTAATGTATTTTCGAACGAAAACTGTACCGATTAACCCCTTGCCTACCGGGCACTTATACCCCCTTCCTTACCAGGCCAATTTTCAGCTTTCAACGCTGCCGCACTTTGATTGACAATTGCACGGTCATGCAACATTGTACCCATATGAAATTTCATTTTTTTCTCACAAATAGAGCTTTCTTTTGGTGGTATTTAATCGCCGCTGGGCGCTTTACTTTTTGCGCTATAAATAAAAAAAGTGCAAAAAATTTGAAAAAAAAAAAAAATTTTCTTTGTTTCTATTATAAAATTTTTCAAACAGGTATTTTTTCTGCTTCACTGATGTGCGTTGATGAGGCAGCACTGATGGGCACTGATAGGCAGCACTAAAGGGCACTGATAGGCAGTACTAATGAGGTGTCACGGATAGGCGGCACTAATATGCAGCACTGATAGGCGGCACTGATAGGTGACACTGATGATGGGTACTGATAGACGGCACTGACTGGCATCACTGCTGGGCACTGACTGGCGGCACTGACTGGCACAACCTCTGGGCACTGACTGGTGGCACTGACTGGCAGCACTGCTGGGCTGCACTGGTGGGTGGGCACAGGTGGGTGGCACAGGTGGGTGGCACTGGTGGGCACAGGTGGGTGGGCACAGGTGGGTGGCACTTCTGGGCACAGGTGGGTGCACTGCTGGGCACAGGTGGGCGGAGCTAGTGGGCGCACTGCTGGGCACAGGTGGGCGGAACTTGCGGGCGGCACTGCTGGGCACCGATCATCAGGGCACCCCGCTCTGACAACTGCCGGTTCTCGGCAGTACTTTCCTCACGATCTGACAGCGTGAGGAAAGTGCAGCCGAGAACCGGCACTTGCATTTCCCTGTGATCAGCGTGTCATTGGACACCGCTGATCACGTGGTAAAAGGCCGCTGGGATCGGCCTTTTACCACATCACGTGATCAGCTGTGTCCGTAGCAGAGCGCGTTCTGGGGGGACGTCATATGACGTGCACCCAGAACTGGCCGGCCGCAGTGAAGCCGTCATTTGGCTATCTGCGGTCGGCAACTAGTTAAACAAAACAAAAAAAAAAATCGCACAATACCAGATGGAAAAATTATTTTGTTTGTCCCTTCAAATGATTTCGGATGAAAGCCGAGTACTAAACAATCAGATTATCGCACGATCGCGTCGGAAGCGGTATTTTTTGTACGATTTTCTGATCCCGTGCCCTAGGCTTGGTTCACAGCTGTGGGCGTTTCCCGCTGCAGCTCTGCGCCTGTTCCTGCTGCAGCAAAGAAAGTCGCAGGAAAGACGGTTTCCCACAGGCTACGGTTTAAAAAAAAAAATGGAGCAAGGACCTTCTCCGCGTTTTCAGGAGGCGCAGCAGCCCGTTGGAATGAATGCGCTGTGGTGCCCACAGGAAAACACACAGGGGGCGATTTAGTAAAACTGGAGAGCGCCAAATCTGGTGCAGCCGTGCTTGGCAGCCAATCAGCTTCCAGGTTGTATTGTCAAAGGTTCACATCTGTGCGGGTGGTGCCGCTGTGGATCCGCACGAAAATCCGTGCAGCCGCACCCCCCGCACAGAGAACTGCGGACCCGCGGATAGGCGCCATTAGTTCTAATGACATGCCGCCCGCACTGGGAAACGCAACCGTACTGAGAACCTCGGCTGCGTTTTTCCGAAGTAGTGCCGGAACTTCTTCACTGCGTGTCCCGGGCGCGGGAGTTCAATCAAATGAACGGGATCTCGTACCTGCGCAAATCACGGCCCGCACAGATGTGAACCGGGGGTCATTGGACAAGCTGAGGTTAGAAGCTGATTGGCCGCCAGGTACAGCCGCACCAGATCCGGAACGCTCCAGATTTAGTCAATGTCCCCCAATGTGTGAACCAGAACTAGGAGCCCATCCACACTTGTGCGACTTGTCATGTGACTCTGGGGGTCCAAGGTTGCTTGTCAGGCCACGTTCCCCAATGAGTACCAATCATATCTGTGTGACTTCAAGTCGCAGCGACTTGAAACTAGTTCCTGCACTACTGGTCCGACTTTCATGTGACTTGAGGGCCATAGACTTCAATGTAAACCCTCCAAAGTCTCACCTGAACGAGATACATGTGGCATGTGTGTGACTTTATACAGCAGAAACACTCATCGCTGGTCAAAGCCCAAGTCACAGTCATCGCTGGTCAAAGCCCAAGTCACACTCATCGCTGGTCAAAGCCCAAGTCACACACATCGCTGGTCAAAGCCCAAGTCACACTTATCGCTGGTCAAAGCCCAAGTCACACTCATCGCTGGTCAAAGCCCAAGTCACACTCATCCTGGTCAAAGCCCAAGTCACACTCATCCCTGGTCAAAGCCCAAGTCACACTCATCCCTGGTCAAAGCCCAAGTCACACTCATCCCTGGTCAAAGCCCAAGTCACACTCATCCCTGGTCAAAGCCCAAGTCACACTCATCCCTAGTCAAAGCCCAAGTCACACTCGTCGCTGGTCAAAGCCCAAGTCACACTCGCCCTAGTCAAAGCCCAAGTCACAGTCATCGCTGGTCAAAGCCCAAGTCACACTCGTCGCTGGTCAAAGCCCAAGTCACAGTCTCATCCCTGGTCAAAGCCCAAGTCACACTCATCGCTGGTCAAAGCCCAAGTCACACTCATCCCTGGTCAAAGCCCAAGTCACACTCATCGCTGGTCAAAGCCCAAGTCACACTCATCCCTAGTCAAAGCCCAAGTCACACTCATCGCTGGTCAAAGCCCAAGTCACACTCGCCCCTAGTCAAAGCCCAAGTCACAGTCATCGCTGGTCAAAACCCAAGTCACACTCGTCGCTGGTCAAAGCCCAAGTCACACTCATCCCTGGTCAAAGCCCAAGTCACACTCATCGCTGGTCAAAGCCCAAGTCACACTCATCCCTAGTCAAAGCCCAAGTCACACTCGTCCCTAGTCAAAGCCCAAGTCACAGTCATCGCTGGTCAAAGCCCAAGTCACACTCATCCCTAGTCAAAGCCCAAGTCACACTCGTCCCTAGTCAAAGCCCAAGTCACACTCGTCCCTGGTCAAAGCCCAAGTCACACTCGTCCCTAGTCAAAGCCCAAGTCACAGTCATCGCTGGTCAAAGCCCAAGTCACACTCGTCCCTAGTCAAAGCCCAAGTCACACTCATCGCTGGTCAAAGCCCAAGTCACACTCATCCCTAGTCAAAGCCCAAGTCACACTCGTCCCTAGTCAAAGCCCAAGTCACACTCATCCCTGGTCAAGGCCCAAGTCACACTCATCGCTGGTCAAGGCCCAAGTCACATCATCGCTGGTCAAGGCCCAAGTCACACTCATCCCTGGTCAAAAGCCCAAGTCACAGTCATCGCTGGTCAAAGCCCAAGTCGCACTCATCGCTGGTCAAAGCCCAAGTCACACTCATCCCTGGTCAAAGCCCAAGTCGCACTCGTCCCTGGTCACATCCCAATCGTCCCTGGTCAAAGCCCAAGTCACACTCGTCCCTGGTCAAGGCACAAGTCACAGTCATCGCTGGTCAAAGCCCAAGTCACACTCATCCCTGGTCAAAGCCCAAGTCACACTCATCCCTAGTCAAAGCCCCAGTCACACTCATCCCTGGTCAAAGCCCAAGTCACACTCATCCCTGGTCAAAGCCCCAGTCACACTCATCCCTGGTCAAAGCCCCAGTCACACTCATCCCTGGTCAAAGCCCAAGTCACACTCATCCCTGGTCAAAGCCCAAGTCACACTCATCGCTGGTCAAAGCCCAAGTCACACATCATCGTGGTCAAAGCCTAAGTCACAGTCATCGCTGGTCAAAGCCCAAGTCACACTCATCCCTGGTCAAGGCCCAAGTCACACTCATCCCTGGTCAAAGCCCAAGTCACACTCATCGCTGGTCAAAGCCAAGTCACACTCATCGCTGGTCAAAGCCCAAGTCACACTCATCCCTAGTCAAAGCCAAGTCACACTCGTCGCTGGTCAAAGCCCAAGTCACACTCGTCCCTGGTCAAAGCCCAAGTCACACTCGTCCCTAGTCAAAGCCCAAGTCACACTCGTCCCTAGTCAAAGCCCAAGTCACACTCATCCCTGGTCAAGGCCCAAGTCACACTCATCGCTGGTCAAAGCCCAAGTCACACTCATCCCTGGTCAAGGCCCAAGTCACACTCATCGCTGGTCAAAGCCCAAGTCACAGTCATCGCTGGTCAAAGCCCAAGTCACACTCATCCCTGGTCAAAGCCCAAGTCGCACTCATACCCTGGTCACATCCCAAGTCGCACTCGTCCCTGGTCAAAGCCCAAGTCACACTCGTCCCTGGTCAAGGCACAAGTCACAGTCATCGCTGGTCAAAGCCCCCAAGTCACACTCATCCCTGGTCAAAGCCCAAGTCACACTCATCCCTAGTCAAAGCCCCAGTCACACTCATCCCTGAGTCAAAGCCCAAAGTCACACTCATCCCTAGTCAAAGCCCCAGTCACACTCATTCCCTGGTCAAAGCCCAGTCACACTCATCCCTGGTCAAAGTCACTCATCCCTGGTCAAAGCCCAAGTCACACTCATCCCTGGTCAAAGCCCAAGTCACACTCATCGCTGGTCAAAGCCTAAGTCACAGTCATCGCTGGTCAAAGCCCAAGTCACACTCATCCCTGGTCAAGGCCCAAGTCACACTCATCCCTGGTCAAAGCCCAAGTCACACTCATCGCTGGTCAAAGCCCAAGTCACACTCATCGCTGGTCAAAGCCCAAGTCACACTCATCCCTAGTCAAAGCCCAAGTCACACTCGTCGCTGGTCAAAGCCCAAGTCACACTCGTCCCTGGTCAAAGCCCAAGTCACACTCGTCCCTAGTCAAAGCCCAAGTCACACTCGTCCCTAGTCAAAGCCCAAGTCACACTCATCCCTGGTCAAGGCCCAAGTCACACTCATCGCTGGTCAAAGCCCAAGTCACACTCATCCCTGGTCAAGGCCCAAGTCACACTCATCGCTGGTCAAAGCCCAAGTCACAGTCATCGCTGGTCAAAGCCCAAGTCACATCATCCCTGGTCAAAGCCCAAGTCACACTCATCCCTGGTCAAAGCCCAAGTCGCACTCATCCCTGGTCAAAGCCCTGGTCACATCCCAAGTCGCACTCGTCCCTGGTCAAAGCCCAAGTCACACTCGTCCCTGGTCAAGGCCCAAGTCACAGTCATCGCTGGTCAAAGCCCAAGTCACACTCATCCCTGGTCAAAGCCCAAGTCACACTCATCCCTGGTCAAAGCCCAAGTCACACTCATCCCTGGTCAAAGCCCAAGTCACACTCATCCCTGGTCAAAGCCCAAGTCACACTCATCCCTGGTCAAAGCCCAAGTCACACTCATCCTGGTCAAAGCCTAAGTCACAGTCATCGCTGGTCAAAGCCCAAGTCACATCATCCCTGGTCAAGGCCCAAGTCACACTCATCCCTGGTCAAAGCCCAGTCACTATCAGTCAAAGCCCAAGTCATATCGCTGGTCAAAGCCCAAGTCACACTCATCCCTGGTCAAAGCCCAAGTCACACTCATCATCCAAGTCACACTGGTCCCTGGTCAAAGCCCAAGTCACACTCATCGCTGGTCAAAGCCCAGTCACTCGTGGTCAAAGCCCAAGTCACACTCATCCCTGGTCAAAGCCCAAGTCACACTCATCCCTAGTTAAAGCCCAAGTCAACTCGTCCCTGGTCAAAGCCCAAGTCACACTCGTCCCTGGTGTAAAGCCCCAAGTCACCCAAGGGTCACACTCGTCCCTGGTCAAAGCCCAAGTCACACTCATCCCTGGTCAAAAGGCCCAAGTCACAGTCATTCGCTGGTCAAAGCCCAAGTCACACTCATCCCTAGTCAAAGCCCAAGTCACACTCAATCGCTGGTCAAA